ATATTTAAGAGTTTGTATGAAATGGAACGATGATCTTGGAAGGTTGTAATTTGGTACAAAGCAACCTCAAACCTTACTTTAGAACCTCAAAAAGTTTCATTTCTTAGTTTCTAATTGTTTAGGAGAAAACAATTTTTTGTTTAACCTCACTTTCTATAAACGTCAAATTAAATAGGTGATATTTAAGAGTTTGTATGAAATGGAACGATGATCTTGGAAGGTTGTAATTTGGCACAACCCAACCTCAAACCTTACTTTAGAACCTCAAAAAGTTTCATTTCTTAGTTTCTAATTGTTTAGGAGAAAACAATTTTTTGTTTAACCTCACTTCCTATAAACGTCAAATTAAATAGGTGATCTTTAAGAGTTTGTATGAAATAGAACGATGATTTTGGAAGGTTGTAATTTGGTATAACCCAACCTCAAGCGTTCCTTTATAACCTCAAAAAGTTTCATCTCTTAATTCCTAACCGTTGTGGAGGAAATAACTTTTTTCTTTAGCCTCACTTTCAACAAACGTCAAATGAGATACATACTTATATGTTTGGTGAAATCAAATGAATTGATAAATTTCTAATTTATTAAAAAAAATTACTTAGATGTAATTACTAAGTTTTGATTAAACTATGTGTAATTTTAACCGATCCGCATACAGACATAGCCGATTTAGTCTGCAGCCCTTTGTCCGTTTGACGGGACGAAACCATAGCGAGTAATTATCTGAAAATCAAGGGTTGACCTAGATAGAAAGCGGCCTCTCTAACACAAAGTCAAAGTGCATAATTGAAATTTACGGTAAATTATTTCGTAATTGCCCCCTTTTTCCTACCAAAAGCGCTTTTAAACATTAAAAAGAAGAAATAATCGAGGTCAGATTGTAGTTTGCGGAGTTCAGTTTTAAGGGATCTTTAATGGCCCGGTAAAAAATTACCGACATTTTCTGCGGGTACGAACCGGAGAGAACGTAATATCGCAGAAGGACCTTAAATTAAATGTTTTCAAGACCGCAAAGCTTCGCTCTCAAGAGAGAGCGCGCTCAGGATAATTGCTGCTAGAAGGGAAAAAGTAATGTTGAATTTTTTTCGACGTTATAATGGAAAAGGACAAATAACGAACTATCGTTTCTAGGAAGACATCGAAAAATCATTACATTTAAAATGGATGCTTATTTAACATCGTTACCCTGATGGAAATATAATGTACCCAAAGAAATTTTTTATTTATTTTGAATCTCGACATTAATGCGTCAATTAACATAAAATATATATTCCACAACAACCATTACAACCCAACCGTATTCAAGGACAAATTAGACCATGCATAATGGAAGATATAGTTGTTTGCGCCCGTGTGGTTGTGTTAAAGCAGACACAATGGCCTCTCCCTTTTCTCCCATTATATTTTCTCGAGCCTATTGTAGCAGCATATGCCCTGGACTACTATAATACGGAGAATGATATTATTACCAGATTTAATCGCTATTAGTAAAAGGTTCGTGGCTTTACAAAGAGATTTATTGTGACGGAAGCTAAGGGTGGATCTTTATCACCTCCCCTTTCGGGCGAATCATGAAGCGTAACTTAAAAAAATTGAAGATTTATTACCTTAAAATCAACATACTAAAACTAGTTAGTTATGTATTGAAGTAATTAGTAATAAAGGGATTTATCTCGATGAATGACGCGAATTTAATTAAAACTGCACCCTCTCGTTGTGTGCCAAAAGGCGTTAAGAAGCGGTTAAGATTCTTGGAGAGCCGAGTTTTATCTACTCTAAAAAAGGGTTTAAACGATAAACGCGGAAGGGTTTCCGCGAGTGAGAGAGAGGATTTTGAAAATATTATAAACGAGAGGTGTCCGACGATTTCAAATGGGGTTTAATAAAATTTTATTGGTTTAAATTTGTAAAATTTCCGATAATATTCTGACAGGAATGCATTCACTTTAAATTTTAAAATAATGTGGTGATTTATTGGAATTTATTGGAACTAATCGTCGACTAAATTATTCTTTTTATGATAAATTTATTTCGCCCAAATTTTATTTTCGAAAAATGAGAAGTAGTTTTTGTCCGAAATAAAAGCTTAAATCTTTTTTAGGAGATAAAAATGTTTTAAAAAGCTTTAAGTGAGAATGCGATTTTGACGTTTTATGTGAATCACCCAAAAAAAATAATGATAAATTTCAAAAAATTGTTGATGATATGAAATGATGTTTATATCAAATTAAAGTTTAAACCTGTATTTTTTAGGAAATATAAAAGTTATCGTTTTGTCACTAAAAATTTTGTAAAAAAATACTTCTAGATATAAATTTGGAAATTACAAGTCCTCAACGCAATCGACACAGCACAAATTTTCTTCTTGAAACCGGTTTCTGACTTTTCACAACATTAGTGACGTAAATGACACATTCATTCACAAGTATAATGTTCAGAATACGCACAATTGTACGAATTTAGTTCTAGATCGAGTGTTAGTTCTAGTGACACTGTTAAGTAGTACTAGTAAGCACTAGATGGTGCTAGATTGTATGTTGTTATTGAACTAAAACTAGAACTAACACTAGACCTAGAACTAGAAACATTCGGGTTTTCGGAAAACCATTAAAAACTTTCTGGACACTTCTGGACGTCTCTAAAAATCTTCTGAAAATCTTTATAACTGTCTAGAAAGCGTTTAAACACTATTTGATAACTATAGAGACCAGTAGAAAGCTTCTGGACACTTCTGGACGTCTCTAAAAATCTTCTGGAAATCTTTATAACTGCCTAGAAAGCGTTTAAACACTATTTGATAACTATAGAGACCAGTAGAAAGCTTCTGGACACTTTTGGACATCTTTAAAGTCCCCTAGTTTATTACTAGAAGTAGAGCTAAGACTAGATCTAGAACTAGAAACATTCGGGTTTAGCCGCCTTGAGAAACGAACGGCTAAAGCCGAATGATTCTAGTTCTAGGTCTAGTGTTAGTTCTAGTTTTATTTGTTATTCAGCGTCAGATTGTTGAATATCTTTATTGAAGCTATAATTTTTACGATACTTTAGCTTTCTAGGGTTAAACCTTCCTCTTTTAGGAAATATAAAAGTTGTTCTTTTAGCTTTAAAGAGTTTTTATAAAAAAAATTTTAAGTAAGAATGCGTTTTTTAAGTTTTATGTAAATCACCTAAGAAAGTAACAAAATTAAAAAAATCACTTAATTTGTATTTATGAAAACTAAGAAATAAAACTTGCACCAAAATAAAGCTTAAACTTTCCTCTTTTAGGAAATATAAATTTTTGTAGAAATATTTTTAAGTAAAATGCGATTTTGTCGTTTTATGTGAATCACCCAAAAAATAATGATAAATTTCAAAAAATCGTGGAGGTGGGATTTTTGAAAACTATGAACCCATTTTTGTATCAAATTAAAGCTTAAACCTTCCTCTTTTCGGAAATATAAAAGTTGTTCTTTTAGCTTTAAAGAGTTTTTATAAAAAAAATTTTAAGTAAGAATGCGTTTTTCAGGTTATAGGTAAATCACCCAAAAAAGTAACAAAAAATCGCCTAATTTGTATTTATGAAAACTAAGAAATAAAACTTGCACCAAAATAAAGCTTAAACTTTCCTCTTTTAGGAAATATAAATTTTTGTAGAAAAATTTTTAAGTAAAATGCGATTTTGTCGTTTTATGTGAATCACCCAAAAAATAATGATAAATTTCAAAAAATTGTGGAGGTCGTATTTTTAAAAATTATGAAATGATTTTTATATCAAATGAAAGCTTAAACTTTCCTCTTTAAGAAAACATATAAAACATTCTTTGAATTCACGAACGATTCCATCAAAAAACATTTAAAGACAATCATGTAAATTTTTATCTAGAAGAAAACTTTGAAGAGAATCTTTAAAAGGATTTCCATTAGGAAATATTTCACACGGGTTTCCCTGCTGCCAACATTCAGTTACATAAATTTCATTCTAAATCAGGTCCGACGTCTTATTCAGAACCTCTCGCACCACCAAACCCCCATTCCAAGAAGAGACCTAGATGAATAATATATTTAATATCAGTGGACTGGGAAGAATTTTCCCGTCACTCGCGAACATTTTGGAATAGTTACAGTTTTCCCAAGGGTTGCGTTGTAAATCACTTCAAGACCAGTTTCCCCGAGTATTATGAACGCTGGATGCCGCTTAAAATAGAAAACTTGTAAGCGAGTCGTTTCCATCTCAACATTTTGTTATTTAAAAATGATGACGAAAATGACGAGGTGAGGGGGGAGTTTTATTTTTGGGGAATCGATTTTTTTTAATAAAGAAGACTTTCAATATTCAAGACTGGAGATTACAATGCAAAAATATTCATCGAAGCGTTTCGTTCTTGCGACCCTTCCATTATCTTGATTAATGAGAGATTCTTATTTTTAATTATTTCTATGAAAATTATTGGTGTAACTTAATTTGAGGGATGTGATAGTAACAAATTAACATTGATGGTGGGTTTGTAGTTTCCCGAAAGTTTCAAAACTTGAGCACAACTCGATCCTTTAAGTTTTGATGAAACGCAATTTACACCACGTTTCAAATTAGTTATTCTAATAGTTTTAAATTTAATGATCACCCGGCAGTCACGATCTGACATACAAATAAAGTTGTAAAGCGTTTCTCGTTTTAAGCGAGACTTTTACTATCGGGAAGTCGTAATTTGAGATCGCGCTATAACTTTTGATTAAATTTTTACGAAAAACTCGTTAAAAACATGGACGACACATTCAAAGTTTATTAAACTAAAATTTTAAAGTCGTTAAAAAACGTGGTATCAACTGAACTGAACCGCGTATAAATAATAAATATAATTCTCGTTTATATTCGGTATTATTTTAAGTTCTCGCTAATGTTTTTTCACTTACCGCGCACGTATTTTCTCAACTTAAGTGAATTTTCATTGTATTTCACTGTTTTTGTAATGAAATGGGGGTTTTGAGCGATAACTTTAATTCTCGTTTTATTTGAAACTTACCTTTGATGAGAATCGAGGAAATTATAAATGCGAAAATCATGTTCACCCACATAGTTTTTCTTTTCACCTCAATCAAAATTTTTTTTACCTATTAAAAAATCATTTCATCGAATGACACAAATACGATTTTATCAATGATATTCCGTAACGGGACGGTGGCGCGCACTTCCGGTTTTTAAACCCCGTTGCTACCAACGCGAGAACCATGAAAACACTGTCGGAACAAGCGGCAACTTGAAACGATGATAGGGGGCTGGGAATCAACAGATTGTAGAGGGGAGAACGTAGAACGTTTCGGGTGGAGGGGATGGTTTTGACCTATGACGTCTTTAGATTGCTAAATATAAATATTTTTTTGTAATTAACATTTTAATTAGCACCACTTAAATTTTGTATTTTCAACAATAAAATTTTTATTTTCCCATCAATCAAATTTAAAATGCACGATTTAATACCTTGATACATATAGTACATTGAAAAAACAATTTTCTACTTGGTTAGTTATTTTCGAAAGAAAATCAGCAACAAAGTGACAATTTCCCTTTTCTTACTTGAAATGGGTCAGAGAACAATGCTAATAATACGGAACAGGGCCGTATTTACCGTAAAGGTCTAGTACGTACGAATACAAACACGGCGTGTATTGCGTGCTCCGCGGTACATCTGATAAAGTTGATATATTATCCAGAGCTTATCTGCAGACATCCCGCTAAGTTGGGCACAGCATTTATTACTGATAGGGCGCCATTACAGTTGCTTTGCCCACCTACTGACTGCGCCCAAACGAAAAACAATCGTGAAAACCAAAAAGTCACATTTCAACCTTTAATATGATACATATATCGCCTCAAAGTTCCCACTAAAACAATTTATGTTAACCAAGAAATCGTGTTCACGTCAAGTTAAAAATGTGATTGTAAGTTTTAACTTTATTTATAAATAGTTTCTTAGTTTCTATAAATACTAGCAGAATAAACGTTTGAAGTTTAATATATCGTAAAATAAAGAAGCTTTCTTTAATATAAATGTGTTACTTAACTGTCGAGGCAGCTATCTTGCCGAGGCAGTAATGTGGTTGCTTAAAAAAAAGCTTTTTCAATATAAATGCGTCAGCTTGGCTCCTAAGGTATCAGCCTTTCAAGCAGGAGTACTTGCTATAAACTTCTGCACCGCTTTGAACCTAGAAAAGGGACAGAAAGGTGCATCCATAAACATTTTCACAGATAATCGGGCCGCCCTAAATGCATTTTAGGCATACACGTGTGATTCCGCACTGATTAGACTAGTGTACCTACCAGCAACCTGAGAGAACTCGCTAGGGGCAAGGGTGTTACGCTATGGCGAGTTCCAGGTCACAGAGACCTTGAGGGCAATGAGAAGGTGGACTAGTTGGCCAAAGAGGCAGCGAAAAGGTCCTTCATTGCACCCCAACCCGGTTATGGACTACAAAAAAGCCACATAAAAAAAGTAATCAAAAGTTGGGAGGCCTCAAAGATAGCTTTACGCTAGAAAGAACTTCCAGGTCACAGACAAGCGACGAGTATGATAACTCAGTCGCAAAACAAAACCAAAGAGGTTTTATGCCTCAGCAAAGAGGATCTATGGACTAAAATACCACCTGTTCCACAGGACAAGCTGAGGATCAAATTTGTCGACTTTGCAACGACAAGTCAGAAATGGCTGAATATACAGGGTGTATTTAACGCAACCTAACCCTTTTTTTTAACGACGTTGGGGAAAATCTGCTAGACAAACATCCGGCCTGGTATGTTGGGCGGCCGGATAGTGTGGGGTTGAGGACAAAGACCCCGACCCACTAAAAACCCTTTTCCTCGCCTTCTCCGCAAACTTTTCTTCGGAAAAATCAACTCTTCGTCGGTACCCTCCGATACTCTACCTCCATATCCATCCACCTCCATCTATGATATTATTGTTCGATTAGATGAGCTCATACAATAAACCCAGAAAAGAAACCGTCTTTGCTTTTAAATACTTATTTATTTTAACCTACCTCTTTATCGATCTCTTACTACTCGTCCTCTTATTTGGTCCGTGAGGTCATAGAAAATTACAAGCCTTACATTTTAGAATTTATTTTTGGTTTGATATGCACCTGGAAGGGGGGCCTATATGAGGCCCCCCTCTCTTCTTCTTCCCTCCTTTTACCAGTGAAGCATCTATGTACGTTTTTCTTCCCTCTTCTTGGTTTGGACAACCTCCCTTACATAATCTTCTACCACTTTCCACTTGCTCTCGCTTTCCAGCATTTCTTTAGTACAGTTTTCAGGCATCAGTATAACTTCTAGCTTTATGTTAGTCTCCGTTCTTATTCCTACCCATCTGGCGCATTCAAAGAAAGTGTGCTCTACATCGTTTCTTCTGCCACAACCCGATATATACTCAACCCAACCTACAATTACGTTCTCTTCGACTAAAATATTTTCAGATTTCTAGCACTTCTGGAAGTCGCCACCTACTTTACTTTTTTAAATGGAACACCCTGTATATCTTTACAAACCTGGATTTGTTTATTTTCATGATTTATGAATAACTTTACTTTTTCCAATTTGATTCGGCCTTTCTTGAGTTATTCGATTTTTTCTAAAAAAATCTCCTCTAGCAGAGATTTTTTCAAAAAATCAGAAAACACTCGATTTTTTGGACATCAATTTAGGATTCCGAACATGCTTAAGCAACATGATTTAGTATGTTTTGGTGCAAAGAACGGCTGTCTAGATCGTTTGGCCACTTTACTATGGCACGTTAACTTTTCGAAATTTAGAAGTAGCATAACATCATACCATATCGATATTTAACCTAGTTAACGAATTTATATTAAGGAAAGCTTGGCTATTTGTTAACCATCGGAGCAACTGCCTCGGCAACTAAGTGATGTATTCTTGTTGAGTTCAGGTTCAGTGTTTGTTTCTTAAGCTCTCGCACCACTGCCTCGGCAGCATTGCTGCATCGGAAACTTAATGACAATTTATAATAAACAAAGCTTCAATGTTTGTTTTTTAAGCGCTCCCACTACTGCCTCGGCAGCATAGCAGCCTCGGCAACTAAATACCAGATTCATAGTGGGAACAGGTTTATTGTTTGTTCCTTCAGTACTTGCACCACTACCTCGGCAGCATTGCTGCCTCGAATACTTAATGACATATTTGTAATGAAGAAACATTCCATGTTTGTTCTTTAAGCGCTCGCACTACTGCCTCGGCAGCCTCAGCAACTAAATACCACATTCATAGTGGGAACAGGATTATTGTTTTATAAGCAGTAACGCTATTACCTCGGCAGCTATGCTGCCTCGACAATTAATTGAAATATTTATATTGGAGAAAGCTTCCATATTTGTCTCTTAAGCGCTATTACCTCGGCAGCATAGCTACCTCGGGAGAAATTTCAAAGGAAAATGATGTTTCCTTGTATTAATAAAAAAAATTAAAAAATGTTGTGTAATGTAGAGTCATTACGAGTACGAATACAGTGTGAGAAATATGGTAAATGGCAAAATCGGAATTAATAGTGAAACGAGAAGTTATGGCACGTGTGGAGGATGAGATAACAACCCCCGGTATCGCGTATTTCGGCATCAACGTAACCACAACGCGAGGACATGCGGCTTACGCATGACAAACCCAGATATTGTGTAGTTATGACCGAGCGCATAATCGCGTTTCCCTTTAATAAGCGAATCCGGATTCCCCCGGTTGAATCGAAAATTCGATACTCCTCATATGCACGGGTATGTGCTTTTCGGGAATACGACTTTGGAACCGTTTTAGGTAAGTTGCTCGAAAGCATTCTGTCGAAAATTCTCCCGACATCGTTGTGCACCGTCGCCGCCAAGTTGGAAAATGCGGAAACTCGTTCGCCAGTTTGCGGCAAGTTCGTGTTAGTAAACATTCAGAAATTGTTTTGGGCGTCGAGTATACATTTGCATACTAACACCCGCGGCTGTTGTAAAACGTTTCTACGTCATATCCTAACCCTGGTTTGCATCGTATTTTCTACTCAGTAATTAGCAAAATCCTACGATGTGTTAAAACTACTCAAACAGAAGATTCAACTTAAAATATAAATTTAGTTATTAGTAATCCCATATCTGTATATACGCACCAACTAATCAACCTTTATGCCAATAGCATAAACTTCCTCGTGTGTGACGTACGCCACTGACTACACACCACCCATGTCGCTTAACGCAATTTCGTATGCACTACAAGCACCCTCTATATCACAGTTACGTATCTCGATCTGTGACGCCTGACAAGATCTGGTCGTTAAATTTATAGATTTAGTTGTAATTAGATTGCTAAATTAAATTTTATTTTCTTTTTATTCCGTGCTATCGATGTTGTGAAACGATGTTTTCTCAGTTAATTTTGCGCCATTCCTCTCACGGGATTCAATTTAAATTGTCCAGAATGCAGGTCGAATCCTGCAGGACCACGGCAGGATCAAACGTAAATTAAATTTGCTACCGGAGACAGCCGTATAGATCGATCGGGTGAATTGACAGCGACGACCTCCCTACTGCTATTAGAAGGGAACTCCAGACACTGTCACCGTATTAATTCGGGAATATGCATAGGCAAATTAACAGGCTGTGCCCCGAGAGTTACGTGTTCTGTAAACCCAGTTGCAGCCAAATTTAGTGGACCCTCTTCGTAGTGGCCACTAAAGTGACACCATGACAAACTTGCCCTATCTTCATATTGCTAGACACACAATACAGAGATGTTAATCCTTGGCCAAATACACTTATGCAAAATCAATACTTATTAAGCATAAGTGTAAAGTTAGTTTAGATGTAAAAAGTTGAATTTAATTATAACATCGCACCCACTTTACTAGTAGCTGCAAGTTGCTAACTTGGAAATGCGTTTGTTACTTGGAGCATTTCGATTTTTATTTGCACACTTGACGCTGCAACTCTACTAAGGGTTATTAAATAATGAAATCTCATGAATATTCAGTGCTTACACTTCTGGTCTGCATGCATCTACATACATCGGGTTCGGAGTCGTATTTTCAAGTTAATTTATTCGGGCTCAAGTTATTGAGTTGTCGATAACTAACTCCTATATCATAATTCGTTACATTCCAAAAATTTAGGTGCGTTTTACATTTATATCTGCGCGAGCGCATAAAAGCGGTTAGAAGCAATACGGTTGTGTAATTAAACTGTCC